GCTGCGCTGCCCAGACTTTATTTTTACTTATTTATTTTAGGGATATTTTTCTACAGGGCATGTGTACTCACTGCCCCTCAGGGAAGATGGTCACACCACAGTTCCTTCTCCTCCAGTCTCTCAGGATTTTGGGCATGCATGCACACACGTCCGCCATGAGTTTTAAATTTCCAGATCTGGGAATCGAACCACAGTTGACTATGTAGGAGCTGCCCAGACTTTATTTTTACTTATTTATTTTAGGGATATTTTTCTACAGGGCATGTGTACTCACTGCCCCTCAGGGATGACATAACCGTTATGCCATCTGCTGGTTTCCAGATTCAGTTTTTAAGATTTAAAATGTAATAAAGTCAATTGTGAAATCCTACTTACAGGTTTTTAAAATTTCAAAAAATGTTAATGGCTCAATAAAGAGGGATAGGACCTGACAGGCTGAAATCAGTTGGAATCGAATCTTAGGGGTTTTGTTGACTACAAGACCTCAGGAACAAGCAAGGAGACTGAGCTGCTTGGTCAACAGCAGTCATCCTGCATGGTGTTCAGAAAGGCATGGTGGCCGTGGCTACTCCGATGCACATTTCTCCTGAGATGTGGACAGATTTGGGGGGTCTAGAGGATTATTTCCATTTATCATTCTCATATTTTGAAGTCACCTATGACCTGTTGACAAAATTAGGTGAAAAGTTCTGAAGACTATGTCAGTTGAGGAATTGGAGGTATTTATTCTGGAAAATATTGGTATAGAGGAGAGATTTTGACCTTTTTTATTTTTTAGAGAGATGTTTCTGTGCTTGCCAAAGAGACAGAGAAAAACAGAGAGAAAGTGAGAAATCACTCCTCAGTTGGGATGGCCATTCCACCATCCCTTCTTCTCCATTCTCCTCTCGGGATTCTGGACACACATGCACATGCACCTGGCATGAGTTTCATGCCTCCGGGTCCAGGACTTGAACTGTGTGTGACCCCATGAGAGACCAGCGCCTCAACCACTATGCTACCTTCTGGCCCTGTATTTTGACCATCTTAATGTTCAAAAGGCTGACTTGAAAAATAAGCAGATTCTATTTGCTATTGATGGCAAAACTAGTAGGTGATTTTTAGGTAAGGATTCATAGAGAGCATGGAGCAAGGCAAAATGGTAAATGGCAAGTGAAATATAATGGAGGGTAAATTGGCAAGAGAAGACAGCTGCAGGTGACCACAGGGATTGTAGGTTTAAAAAAAATAATTTTTAATTGAGCTATAAATTACATATAGCAACATGCACAGATCTCAAGTGTAGATAAGGGAGGGTGATTCTTCACTTAGTATACACCCACATGACCAACACCCAGAACGAAACACAGAACTTTGCATCATCTCAGAAGGTCACCTCCTACCTCCTTCCAGTCAATACCTGCCCAGGAGTAATCACATCGTGAGCCATTCTACTAGTGACTGCCACAGGTACACGTATGTACAGAAAAACATATCCCCTGGGAATGAGGATTTGGCCCTGCTTGCCCACCACTTTCCATAAAAAATGTTCCTCTCCTGACCTCTGTCACCTCTGCAAACTTTATGCAGCCACTCTGAAACAGTGGTGAGCAGTTTCCCAAAAAGGTAAACAGCTGAGTCAGCAATTCCATTTCAAGTTATATATCCAATAGAAAGGAGGTCTTGTTGTTGGGCTTTGTCTATTTTTACAAAGCTTACAAAATAATGGTCACAGCAGATTTATTTATAATAACACAAAGCTGAAAATTAATCCAAACATCTGGCTTGTGAGAATGGATCAACACTTGGTATATACACACAATGAAATACTACTCAGCAATGAAAAAGAATGAAGAGCAACATGGATGATCTCAACACCATCGTGCTGAGTGAAAGAAGCTAGACACAAAAGAATACAGACTGCCTGATTCCATGTGTACACAGTTGAAGATTGCAGCTTTGCATGACAGCTTGATTTTGCATGCATACGAGTTTAGGCAGATTTCTTCTCTTTTCAGAAAAGGGCTTGTATGAAACATGAGATGGCAAAGACATGGAAGAAAAATAAAGCTAATGCCAGGAATTCCGCTTTGCTTAAGTGAGAAACATTTACTTAGTGTTCTTTGTTTCTGCCATGAGTACTAAAAGAATCATGTGATACCGATTTTCCTTTCTCCATTTTCCTCCTCCCCCCCCCGCCCCCCAGATTCTAATTCTTGGACTTTTTGGTAATAATGGCACTAAAAGCCGCATACAAAAGGCAGAAAAGCACTGCAGGTTATAGTCAGGTCATAAACAATGGGACTAACTTAGAATGATTTTGAGCCTCTTCCTCAAAGTAAACTTTCTGAATCAATCACAGGGCACATTGGAAAGCAGAAGCTTTGTTGTTATTCTCTGCTCAAAACTTCTGATACGACCGTTTTCTTGGCTACTGATACGTACTGTGTTCATCTCAGTTGATCTGTTTCCTTAGTGGTGAAAGCAGGAAATCGTAATAGGCTGACAAAGCTCTGGAGAACAGAGTTACTAGTCACCAGGGGCCATGGAGGAGGCAGGACAGAGTGGGTACAAACACAAAGGAGTACGTGTGGCCGTTCATCGTGATGATGGAACGGTTCTGTACCTTGGTGGTGGTGGCTACAGGAATCTAGATGTCAGATACAGTGGCCTATACATGGATGCCTGTACAAAATGGTGAAAAATGAACAAGGCCTGTAGTTGACAGTTCAGTCCCAATGTCAGTTTCTCGGTTTCTGATGTTATCCTGCAGCTGTGTAAGGTGTCTCCACTGGGGGAAGCTGGTTAAAGCATTGAGAGGACTCTGTATGAGAGGACTCTAGATACTATTTTTAGTGTTTTGTTTTTTTTTTTTTAACAAATTTCCCTTTCAGAGTTGGGCTATTTTCTATGATTGTGTTTTATTAATGTCATTGAAATTTCCCTCACACAAAAATCCATTAGGCTGGAATTGATGGTAAATGCTTGTGTTTGGAAAAGAGATTGATTTCCTTTTAAAGCATCGTTTTCTTATAATGTTGTCTACCGGCTAATTGTAGGACTTTCTTTTTCATTCCTACTGTATTGTACCTTTTCTAAGCTGAATATAATATTGAAAAGAAATTTGCAATGTGTTCTAGGTATCCAGAGTTCCTCTAACTTAGGGGGAATTTTGCATCACCTGGAAATGGCATAATTTTTACCTGTTCTGAATTAGAGTATATTTCTGTGTCATGGTGTAAATTTTGTTACAGGTGTTAAAGAAACTAACTCATCCTGTTGTGGAAAGAATGGAATCAAATTAAAAACAAAAATTCTCCAAAGGAAATGCCCTCTTTGTGTTTAGTCTCAGTTTGCCCTGTTTTATTTTCCTGGAAACTCATTATCTGAATCAGTTAACCATGCCCAGCCCGCCATCTGAAATGGAAAGGAACTGTTTTTTGGGGGACTTCATATGAAAGGCATTTTATTTTGGGTTATATATACATATCTTTTAAATATATATATATATTAGATATATGTGTATATCTTCTTGACTTGTACATTTTAACACTGTTAAAAAAAAACGAATGTGAAGTCTTGAAAATTAATGCAAGAGAAATTTGGTTTAAACTTGACTACTAAAGAATTATTTAGCTAGATAATATTTTTTCTCCACATTAATATCTCATGTCTGAAGAAATTGTGACAAAGAAGTCCTGATTACCTTTCATGAGTATAAGGATACTCATAGCATATCTAAATTGAAATATCTATAGTTATTCTTTGTTTAAATAAACTCAATGTACAAAAAGTGCATATTTTCAAATAGAAGATGATTGTTGGTGGATTTCTAAACATGAATTATTGACAGAAATGTGTTACCCTTGATTTCACATCCCACGTTGATATAGTAAGGAATAGCAGAAGTTCTTGTATATTAAAATTTAACTTATGCTTTATTGGACTTACAGGATTAAAATGCTAGTATACTAAAAATGGTTGCACTCTTCTTTCTCCCAATTTACAAGAGTTCCTACTTTCTTTTTCTCTAACAGATATAAGCTTACCAAAGTCGGCAACAATTTGCTACACAGCTGCCTTGCTCAAAGCCAGAGCGGTCTCTGACAAGTAAGTGAATACTAACTTGTGTGGTGCTAGGTGTCTGATCAGACTTAAAGACACGTGTTGCCTCAGAGGGCTTTCTCTGGAAGTTTCTCTTAGTCTATGAGACCCTGCTTATGAGCACGCCTTTTCCAAAACCTGCTGATCTTTTCTTTCACTGCGAGAGGGGGAGATGCATATCCCCAGGTATCACAAGGGTATATGGATCCCTAAAGAGGGATGTATGTGAATTCCATGCCTCTGAGGTGACATTCTTTTTATTTCTTTCTTTTCTTTTTTTTTTTTTCCTTTTTCTTTTTGCCAGACAGTAAATACAAAAAGGCCTGCTTGGGACCTACACAAAATGCCTTCCTTTTGTTCATTTTTTTTCGTATTCCTTTTCCTATAGCAGCCCGTGACTGGGTGGTAGTCATACAATGCGGTGTGGGAGAGGGATGGCCATCTCCCATTCTTTGTTGGTGCTAGGTGTCTGATCAGACTTAAAGACACGTGTTGCCTCAGAGGGCTTTCTCTGGAAGTTTCTCTTAGTCTATGAGACCCTGCTTATGAGCACGCCTTTTCCAAAACCTGCTGATCTTTTCTTTCACTGCGAGAGGGGGAGATGCATATCCCCAGGTATCACAAGGGTATATGGATCCCTAAAGAGGGATGTATGTGAATTCCATGCCTCTGAGGTGACATTCTTTTTATTTCTTTCTTTTCTTTTTTTTTTTCCTTTTTCTTTTTGCCAGACAGTAAATACAAAAAGGCCTGCTTGGGACCTACACAAAATGCCTTCCTTTTGTTCATTTTTTTTCGTATTCCTTTTCCTATAGCAGCCCGTGACTGGGTGGTAGTCATACAATGCGGTGTGGGAGAGGGATGGCCATCTCCCATTCTTTGTTTCATCAGTTCGAAATAACTCCCCACCCAGGGCCTATTTACTTTGAGTTGCCATCTCAGTGGGACGTTTGCCCATTTTATTCAGGCAGGTGACTATGGTGTGTAGCACGTCCATAAACACGCAAGGATGACTGGCAGGCGAAAGAGCATAGACGGCTTAACTGTTTTTGAGTTCATGAACGCTTGCACTTCCCCGATACAGTCCCTCGGTAGCACTGAAAAGCAGAGAACAGGAAAACAGCCTCTGCTGTGTCAGACAGGTTTGCTGTTAAGTGTGTGTGCACTTCAAGACCGAAGTAATTTTCTTTCATTCTTTTTTATCCTGTAGATCGCCAGTACCTACTGCAACATCTTTTCTCCCTACACAGCGACTCCAGCTTGGGAGGGCAGGGCCAGGGTTGTCACAGCTTCCCCTGTGGTGTCTGCCTGCCAAGCACAGCTCTGGAGTTAGCCCTGGGTGTGAGGTGAGAAAGAGATTGCATGGTCTGGTTTTTTCCATTCACTTGGGCAGGTGTCTCGCCCACAGTTTGGGCATACACACACCCCTGCCGGAACGGCCCCAAGCAGGCTGGCCTGCTGCCGAAGCTGCAACGACTTAACCCTCCATCGCAGCATTGACGTGGGGTTGGGAGCCTCCTTTAAAATTCTCCCCAGTTCTGTTTTTAACCAAATACGCTCTTCTGTAACCTGGTTTTCTCTTTTTCCTACACTGTCTGCCCTGTCAGTCCTCCTCCCTTCCCCCACCTAAGCAGGTTCCTTGTAGAAAATTTAGATTAGCTATTTAGACAGAGAGACTTGACAGCTGAATTCAATTCCTGCCGATTAGATGCAAGCACGCTTTCTGCTTCTGCTGGGGTTTTTGTTGGCCTCGGTGTGAGGGGTCACTCAGAGGTTCCATGTAGTGGAAGTGTGGAGAACTCGTGCCATTGGCTCGCTGTGGTTTATGGGCCCTTGATGTGTAGATGCCTCTCCAGGCTGATGCCCAAGCAGTGGTCCCAACTGGATGGTGTTTGTCTTTTGCTTTTCAGATTTTCTCCCGAGGCTGCATCTCGGCGGGGGCTGAGCACAGCAGAGATGAATGCAGTAGAGGCCATTCATAGAGCTGTGGAATTCAATCCTCATGTGCCAAAAGTGAGTCTGTGGAATCCCTCCGGGAACTCGTTATGATAGCAGAGTTAGCATTGGTGACCACAGTCTCAACTGCATCGCGTCTCAACTGCACCCAGTTATCAACAAGATGAGCTGCAGCCAACAAATGTTGAGCCCCTGCATGGTCTATAGTCATGTGCCTCGTTTTTAAGAAAAGCTATATTTGAGAGGCCTTGGGGCTAATATTCAGACTTCATGTAATAAGAATAAATAGAGACCTTGCCTAGGCAGGCCAAGTCAGGAAGTATGAAATGGACAAAAAATAGAGATCCCTGAGGTATTAATATATTTGCTAGGAATTTCATACCAGTAATGGTCTTAGGTAAACCAAACTCAGGAAATAAACCTAGTGAATTAAACTGGTAAAAAAAAAAAATACTGACTAATGTGACACTCCATGTCTCTATAAACAAATGTTAGTTTGTCAGTGTTGGCAACAAAATAATAAGGAAAACCTCATATTATTTATAGATGTTTTGATTTGTGAGTGCCACTTTTAAAAAATTTGCTAGAGAGTACATGTACTCACTAGAGAGAGACAGAGAGAGAGAGAGAAAGAGAGAGAGAGAGAGAGATGCTTCTCATCTACTGACATTTCTGTAAGAAATGGGGGATGGCCACATTGCCATCCGTTCTCCGTTTCTCCTTTCAGGACTTTGGGCATGCATACACAAGTGCCTGGTGTGCTTTTTAAGCCACTGGGTTTGAGACTCAAACTGTGCAGTTTGCCATGTGGAATTCAACTGCCTTAACCACCATGCCACTGGCTGTCCCTGAATGCCACTTTCATAGGTATATATAATAGAGAATATTTGTTTTAGTTGTTTGCCATAATTGAACAAATTTATAAATACCCAATATTTACCATCTGTTTTTCTGAAGTTAATTTAAGGGGATAAAATCAGGACAGAAGATAATTCTATAACCTTATTGAGGAGATGGATGTGTATTTACGATTAACCTGTATTCGAATACCTGCTCTATGAAAGGCTTGGTTCTGAGGCCACTTTTTTCAACAGTCAGCACCTTTTGGTCTCTAAGAAATGATGTCTGCAATCCATATCAGGTATTACAAGGCATAACTTTCTTGGGAATCTGTCCGATGAAGATTTATTGAAAGTGATAAAGGTAGGTTGTTTACTGGTGGAATTACAGTGCTGAGAAAAGGATAGTGAGAGACAGAGATGATTTATGGAGGTACCCACTCCGATTAATTTTATTGTTATCTGCAGTGACAGAGATAAGTGATCTAATATCATTCCTGAGGTTTTTGCTCAAACCAAGGTCATCTTCGCTGATCAGGAAATTGAAGAGTGGTGCACAGTGCCTCATTTGTGAAAGGGTATATTTATCCTTTCTAGTTCCGGTGGATAATGAGTGATGTGGTATTTGGAGACATACATATTCTATGCAGGGTACTATCAATATCGCTTTGAGATATATCTATATCTATATCTATATGCCTCAGCTAAAACTGTTTATTAAAATCTGATTAAAATTGAGAACTAAGCTTGAAACTATTGTCATGAATTACAGTAAACTTAGGTCATCCATTAATAGTTATTGAATGCCATTCTCTCACTACAGAGCTATTCTGTGAAACTGTACAAATCTCTTTCAGAAGTAATATTGAGCAATAGTGTCCTGGATTCTGAGACAAAAACTTGGGTTCAAGTTCTGTTTCGGTAATTCAGTAGCAATGGGACCTTGGGTTTATCATCTCTGAACCCAGAGCTTTTCTTTATTTTTTCATATGAAAATAAAAATATGAGGGAACTGTAAAAGCTGTCTTGGGAAAATGAGTTTATTCTGGTACAAAAATTTTCGGAAAATCCATGATAGTTTTTTCATAATATGCAGTTATCATGAAATTTTGGAGAACCCTTCATAGAAGCTTCCCCATATTCCTTGATAAAGATCAAGGGAAATAATGTGTTTGAAGCTCTTTGAAAATACTTGATCACCATATATTTGTAAACTGTTAAAAATACTAGTATTTGGCTTGGTCAAGTCCCCTCAAGCCTAGGATTCAAGCCTTAATTTTCCTAGTTATCACAACCAGAGCTTGTAATACCAGGGCACAAGAGTGAAAAATTGGTATGATACTCACTTGTAAGATATTTCGATTTGAGTAATAATTAATTCTATGATAATGGTCTGAAATGGTTAATTTAGCCTCTAGAAGTATATAAAAGCCCTAAGAAAATAGTTTAAGACTGCCATAACATGGGGCCAGCAGTTGGTGTAATGGCTATGTCGTCGGACTCCCATGTAGTCGACCGCAGTTCGAGTCCCGGACCTGGTGGCCTAAACACATGCTGGGCACGTGTGCGTGCGTGCCCAAGATCCTGAGAGGACAATGGAGGAGAAGGAATTGTGGAATGGCCATCCCCCGGGGGGGTTGATTTCTCACTTTCTGTCTCTCTCTGTCTTTCTGGTGAGTGCACGTGCCCTATAGCAAAAACCTCTTAAAAAAAAAAAAAAAGACTGCCATAACTTGACATGGTCAACTTCATCTGCAAAATAGAATTATTTTAAAAGTAGAAATGTTTGAAATATTGTACTTCTCTGTACTTCCTAATTGTGAAGCAGAGAAGACAGAATGCCTGGAGAAAATGATCCTCCATCACCTGCTTTGTTGGTGATTATGCTCAGGGCAAAATCTTTTTCCTGTCCTCCTCAACTATTGACATCTCTACAGGGAAGGGGATCTCAAACCTCCAGTCCCCATGTACTAAATGCAGGGTGCTTTGAACATCGTTTGCATGTGAAGTTTATTGGACTGCTTGCTGATACTTTAGCAAATGCACATGGTGCCTTTAAAGGCAAAAAATAACCTTAGCTTTAATGAGACATCAATGAAGGATATTAACTGTTGGGTTCTCGGCATAAGAAGGGTCATTCAAAAATGATACCACTCCCCATCTAAATTTGACTTTTTCCTCATCCTGATATTATGATAATTATTTTATTACTGGTTCTACTGAATGTTTGTGTGTCAGATGCAGTGCTGACTGAACTACACATACCCTCTCTTTTTGTATCTTAACAACACTGTGAGATGCATCATATCATATCATTGCTGTTCAGTGAGGACACTGAAGGTTTGGAGAAGTTAAGTAACCCACTCACAGTCATACAGCAGTTAGATGGTGGAGCCAGAACTGATGTGGGTTATCTTCTTAAATAGCCCTCTGTCACCTCCCAGGTCCCACCAGGGGCAGAACAGTCTGGGCTTGATCCCTTTAAATAATAATGCGCACATTGCTTCCCAAGGCATTCAATTCCTTACGGAATATTTGTTCAGAATTCTTCAAGACATTGTCGTATCTTAAACACTTCCATGACCTCTTTTTCTCTGTCACAGGACATTGTCTTTTTTACCACCGGAATTGTCTTATCTACCTGCCATTTTACCTAGTTACAGTCTGCTCAGAGGGAGAAAGAAAATATAATAGCCGAAAACTGCCTTCCGTAAATTTCCACCTTAGTTTCATCAGGTGTCCCATTAAGCAAAGATGTATAGGTAATATTTCATCACCAATGGTAAATATTATTTACCTGAGGAGAGTTATTCTTAGGAGCTCTCTTAGGAGGGAGTAAGTTTGCTCTTTACCACACCACCGTTCTGGGAAATGAATAAAAATAGTGAAAAGCCACAGGTCTCCATTCTGAAAGCGAACCCTGTAAGCAGTCAGTTAGATGCTAACCACTAGGGTTTCTGAAGTTTTAGTGTACAGCATACATGGACTCATCCTTACAAATCGTCCCTCTCCTCCCAAGATTTGCAGCTGTGCCTCCAACTCTCACAGAAGGTATAACACTTTGAGGGGTTCTTCAGGACCTGTCATAATCTTACCCAACTTTTTTTTTTCACTTTTTTCTAGCTCCTTCTATCACTCCAGAAATATCCTTCTCTCCTTCCCTTTTTGCTTCCTCTCTGGAAATCCTACTCATTCTTCATTGCTGTCTCTACCACCACAATTAAGTCGCTTCCATGAAGCCTGTACCTCATCATCAGAATTCATCTCTTCCCTTTTTTTGTCTCTCACTATAGTGTACTTGCTGCTGGCTCCTTTTGGAGGACAACTTTGGCAGGGGGTGGTGTGTTAGGATCTTAATGTGCTGATGATTTTCTAGAACCGAGTACACAGTTCAAAAAGACAGAGAGGTAGGTGGGAAGGTTTAAAAGAATATGAGCGATACAAGATGCATGTGAATAAGTGGAGTAGGTTATGAAAGTCTACCATAGCCAAGCAAACATGTCTCTGCCAATTCAATATATACCTCCCAACAAAACAAAAGAAACTAGTAGAACTATTATTGAATGGGTACGATATTATGTAATATTCAATACTGAAGACAATGGATATGTCTATATCCTTGATTTGATTATTACATACTATATGCACGCCTTGAAAATCCATACTGTATGTCTCCAAAGGGGTACATTCCTAATTTACAATGATTATTTGTAAATTAGGAATCATAATTTCAAAATAAAAAAAATTAAAAAGAAGAAAAAGAAATCTTGAAGCAGTTAGTGATATTTTGTATTAATGGGATTAAAATACAAGTTTTGTATTTAGAGAGTATTCTTCATCAAAAGAAAGTGTATTTCTCTTTTTTTTCAAAAAAAGTCAACTTTGTAACCTAGTGGTTAAGGAAGCCAGATCCCACATGACTGATCAGAGTTTGAATTCTGTACTCTGGTGACTGGAAAGACATGCTGTGTGTCTGTGTCTATGCATCCAAAATCCTTACAGGATGGAGGGAAAAGGGATTGGCAGCATGACCATACCCCACTGGAAGATGCTTTCTTCATCTCTCGGTCTCTTTGTTTCTCTTTTGGCAAGTGCACACCCCTCTGACAATTAAGAAAAAGCTTTTGCTCATGTAATTCTGGACAGATAAAGGACTACCCTCATCTTAGTTCTATGCCTTTCTCTTTATGTTACTTTAATATATTGAATTTTGGGCTC